TTCAGGCAATTCTCCTGCCTCAGCCTCCTCAGTAGCTGGGATTACAGGCACGTGCCACCATGCCCAGCTAATGTTTTTTTGTATTTTTAGTAGAGACAGGGTTTCACCATGTTGACCAGGATGGTCTCGATCTCTTGACCTCGTGATCCACCCGCCTCGGCCTCCCAAAGTGTTGGGATTACAGGCTTGAGCCACCGCGCCTGGCCTTTTTGCATTTTTAGTAGAGACCGGGTTTTGCCACGTTGGGCAGGTTGGTCTCAAACTCCTGACCTCAAGTGATCAGCCCACCTCGGCCTCCCAAAGTGCTGGGATTACAGGCGTGAGCCATTGTGGCCGGACCTGAAGTGATTTTTCTAAGGTTATGTAGATGGTGACTGAGCTACAGTCAGAGAAGGTAGGTATCTGGGCTCTCACTGCAGTGTCTTCTCTAAATTCTTCAATTATTTACCTAGGAGCAAGTTCTAATCTTCACCAAGCAGCATCTGAAACAAGTTTTTGTCAATATATTAATTCCTCTGTCAATTAGTTGACAAACATTTATTGAATGCCTATTCTACAATGGGCTCTAGAGATGCACAGATGAATTAGACGCATTTCCAATCTTCATTAGCTAATAGAAGAGACGAGTACATACATTACGGGTAATTCATTCTATCTGGAAAGACTGAGGGTACATTTTCACGTCAGATATGACATCTGAGTTAAGGTAATAAGTAGAACTTTGTCGAGGACATGAGAGGAAAGTATTCCAGGCTTATTAAGAAAATGTAGAAAATGTTCACGGGATAATGCTGAAACTAGTGTGACTGGAGAGCAGTATGGCCAGGAACTGAAGGAGTTAAGAAGGTAGGAACCACTCAGCTTGCAATGCCTTTATCTGAGAAATTAGGGATATTAACTTGGAAAAGCTTCTCTCTGTCTTTGTATTCTTTGAAGCGGGAGTTGTGGCTTAGGCTCTTGAAAAGGTCTTCAGGACCGAGCCTGCGGAAGGCTGCGGCGGTGGCACCTGCGAGCCACTGCTGGGGCCGGGTATGGTGGCGCCGACTGCGCTGTGAGCAGAGCGGCCGCGGTGCCAGCCATGCGCCGGCGGCCCTGGCACGGGCGCCAGCAGCTCCAAAGCTCGGGGGCTGTGGCCCTTCACCTTGGCGGCCGGGGGCGGGGGCTCAGAGGCAGCAGGGGCTGAGCAAGCTTTGGTGTGGCCTCGGGGCCGAGCTGTGCCCCACTTCGTATTCAGGCGCCGCGGCTCCATGTTCTATGATGAGGATGGGGATCTGGCTCACGAGTTCTATGAGGAGACCGTCGTCACTAAGAATGGGCAGAAGCGGGCCAAGCTGAGGCCAGTGCATAAGAATCTGATTCCTCAGGGCATTGTGAAGCTGGATAGCCCCCCGCATCCACGTGGATTTTTCTGTGATCCTCTGTGAGGTGTGAGCCTGGAAAGTGGCAGACAGAAGCACCCCCTGCCCCAGCGAGGAACTCCCAGGCTCAAGGTGTGGCTTCCATTGAGGAGCCCAGGCTGGGGCCAAAACCCCGAATAAACTCCATTGGCCCATAACCTTCAGCTGTGAGCAGGTCAGTCCCACAGTATTGGTTGGGTGTTGGTTTGTCTGTGGACAAGAGGTGGTTAGTGGCTGGTGAAGGCTAATGGCAGAGTTAGCACCCCACTCACCCCAGCCACCCCTGCATATACCAGTCAGGAATGCCCGGTACCTGGTTCCTTGGCTGGTCTGCTTTCTTCCAAGTTTGTCTGGGTTCTAGCCCTGCTAGAGGCTACAGCACTTTACAAGCAAGGTCTGCCTTCTTCCAGCCCCTAGGCTGTGGGCACTGCCCTTTCCTTCACTTCCCTTTTGACCCCTAGTCAGAGCATTTCAGCCGTTTGCTACCTCAATTCCTCCTGTGTTGGACAGGGGCTGGGGGCAGTGCTAGCCTGATTCTTCCCACCTACCTGCCATCTGTTCCCACCTTCAGACGGATGGACAGTTTGCTGGCTATTGATAGGAGTGGGGACTGGGTGGGGGATTCTCCCACTACCCAGGGCTGGGCTGATCCCCTCACTGCAACTAGTTGTTGCCCCCACACACAGCCCCGGTTGAGGAGTTGAGAGGGTGCAGGCTGGGGTCAGGACAGGCTGCGGATGCTTGTGCCTATGGGAAGTTACTCCAACCCACCTATTCTGTCTAATCCCCCATGCCTTTGCACCAAGTCCTCTATCCCCCCAATTGGAGGGGACTGTTCACCACCTTGTGGTAAGACACAACACCCTAAGGCTGGTGCCAGTAGTTATGAGTAGCCTACCACCCCTTCCCTTAAAGTAACCCCCCCACCCCCACTTCAGGATCAGCCAGGGGAAAGTACTGGAGCCCCTGAGTAGGGAAAGAAAGGAGAGAAAACCATAAAAGGAACATTTATAATGTGAAGGTTTGTAAATAGTCCATAATGACGTCACGACAGAGTCTGATTTCTATATAAAGGTGACTTTTTTATTAAATACTGTGCAAGCTCTGTGATTCTAGAGTGTGGGAAATGGCTTGGGGAGGGTGGTCCCCCAGCCGAGGAAGACCGTTGTGTTCTTTGTTCAATTTCAATAAAATGACTTGTAGATCCCACACACACACAAAAAAAGGTCTTCAAGACTCAGCTTTCCAAACTATTTATTATAAGTCATACTTCTCTCTGAAAAACTCTTGAATGTAACAAGTGTTACAGAGTTTAACAAGTTCCTCAATTCTCTTTGGGAGTTTTCTGGTGAACTCAACGGTCTACTCATGATATACTGTGTTTTCCCTTCCGCTCAGACGTGTTAGTAAAATTTAAATATTTCTAAGAAATGAAAAATAGCTTCTAATGAGGAAAAAGGGAACTGTGCTTTCTTTTCTCTTGGTCTCACTCTGTCACCCAGACTGGAACACAGTAGTGCAATCATTGCTCAGTGAAATGATTCTGTCTGGGAAGAATCACTGCAATGATTCTATCCTGGGCTCAAAGGTACTCCTACCTTTTTTTTTTTTTTCTTTTCTGAGATGGAGTCTTGCTTTGTTGTCTAAGCTGGAGTGCAGTGGTGCGAACTTGGCTCACTGTAACCTCGCCTCCCGGGTTCAAGCGATTCTCCTGTCTCAGACTCCCAACTAGTTGGGATTACAGGCACACACTACCATGCCTGGCTAATTTTTGTGTTTTTAGTAGAGACAAGGTTTTGCCATGTTGGCCAGGCTGGTCTTGAACTCCTGACCTCAAGCCATCCAACCACTTTGGCTTCCCAAAGTGCTGGGATTACAGGCATGAGCCACCATGCCCAGCCGATCCTCCTATCTTTGCCTCCCAAGTAGCTGGGACTACAGGTGTGTGCCACCGTGCCCAGCTAATTTTGTATACTCCTACCTCAGCCTCTCAGGTTGCTGGGACTACAGCTGTGCCACCATGCCCAGCTTCTGCCTTAATGGATTGCATAAACAACATAATTGGAATTATAAAAATATAATTTATTTTACAGTATTCAAGGAGGTCTCAAAGTGAGAAACCTGAAGCATACTCCTTGTGTGGACTCATCTTTAAGTGAAGAAGTAAGTCCCCAGTCAGTCTTGAGTGACCTCTACCAGTAAACAGGAGGCATAACTCATAAAAGACCTTCAATTCATTTGCTACCCTCATCTCCTCTTTTTTTTTTTTTTTTTTAGAGGGGTCTCGCTCTTTCCCTCGGGCTGGAATGCAGGGGCGTGATTTTGGCTCCCTGCAATCTCCCCCTCCTAGGTGTTTTGTGTTGTTGTTTTTTTTTTTTTTTTTTTTTGAGATGGAGTTTTGCTTTTGTTGCCCACGCTGGAGTGCAATGGCATGATCTCTGCTCACGGCAACCTCTGCTTTCCGGGTTCAAGTGATTGTCCTGCCTCGGCCTCCTGAGTACCAGGGATTATAGGCACGCGCCACCACACCCGACTAATTTTTGTATTTTTAGTAGAGATGGGGTTTCTGCATGTTGGTCAGGCTGATCTCAAACTCCCAACCTCAGGTGATCCGCCCGCCCCAGCCTCCCAAAGTGTTGGGATTACAGGCATGAGCCACCTCACCCAGTCCTCCACCTCCCAGGTTTAAGTGGTTTTCCTGCCTCAACATCCGGGGGGGCTGGACTACAAGCATGCGCCGTCATGCCCAGCTAACTTTTTGTATTTTTAGTAGAGACAGGGTTTCACTGTGTTAGCCAGGACGGTCTCGATCTCCTGACCTTGCGATCTGCCTGCCTAAGCCTCCCAAAGTGCTGGAATTACAGGAATGAGCCACTGCGCCTAGCCTTGTCTCCTCTTTCAACACATTTGCCTGGAAGGGCAATGACCAGTGCCCCCTTTCCTTTATTTTTATTTTTTTAATTTTAATTTTTTTTTTTTGACATGGGGTCTTGCTTCATCACCTAGGCTAGAGTACAGTGGCACGATCACGGCTCACTGCAGTCTTGACTTCCTAGGTGTGGGAGATTCTCCCACCTCAGCTTTTCACTGCGCCCATCCTTCTTTTATTTTTTGTACAAATGAAGGTCTTGCAGCTGGGCATGGTGGTTCACGCCTGTAATCCCAGCACTTTGGGAAGCTGAGGCGGGCAGATCACCTAAGATCAGTAGTTTGAGACCAGCCTGACCAACATGAAGAAACCCTGTCTCTAGTAAACATACAAAATTAACCAGGTGTGGTGGCAGCTGCTTGGGAGGCTGAGGCAGGATAAATCGTTTGAACTGGGAGGTGGAGGTTGCAGTGAGCCAAGAACAAGCCACTGCACTCCAGCCTGGCGACAGAGTGAGACTCCCTCTCAAAAAAAAAAAAATTATAAAAAGATGAATTTAACTTTGGTGTTGCATACTGTAAAGTGATTTCTGTGAGTTCTCAGAATTAAAGAACTGAGGTAAAAAATTAAAAAAAAAAAAAAGAACTGAGGTGACTTTAAGAAGAACCTATATTAAAGCCTAGACTTCACCATTACGTAATATATGCCTTTAGGAAATCTGTACTTCTACACCCTAAATTTTTGTTGTTGTTGTTTTCGAGGTGGAGTTTCACTCTTGTTGCTGAGGCTGTAGTGCACTCCAGCCTGGGCAACAGAGTGAGATGCTGTCTATGAATAAATAAATAAATAAAATCGCATTATGAAAATAAGAACAATATTTCTTTTATTTACTTTTTTTTCTTTTCTTTTCTTTTTTTTTTTTTTTTTT